CCTGTTGTTGTAGATGGTGGTGTTACAGTAGTCGTGGTAGTTGTTGTAGGAGTCGTGGTTGACACTGTTGTAGTTGTAGAGCTAGCAGTAGATGTTTCTGTTGTTGTAGATGGTGGTGTGGTAGTAGTTGTGGTTGACACTGTAGTAGTTGTAGAGCTAGCAGTAGATGTTCCTGATGTTGTAGATGCTGATGTTACAGTAGTCGTGGTTGTTGTTGTAGGAGTTGTGGTTGACACTGTAGTTATTGTAGAGCTAGCAGTAGATGTTCCTGTTGTTGTAGATGGTGGTGTTACAGTAGTCGTGGTAGTTGTTGTAGGAGTTGTGGTTGACACTGTAGTTGTTGTAGAGCTAGCAGTAGATGCTTTTGTTGTTGTAGATGGTCGTGTCATGCATTCAGTTCTGTTTGGTTTCTCACAGGATATTTTTTTTTCAATTTCCTGTCCTTGGCCATCTGTTCTGGCTTGGCTGTTGTCAAACCACTCTGACCATTGACACAAAGGTATTTTAGTTTGTGTAGTAGTTGTAGAGGTAGTAGTAGATGTTCCTGTTTTTGTAGATGGTGGTGTTACAGTACTAGTGGTAGTAGGAATTGTGGGAGTTTTAGTGTATGTTATTGTGTTGCAACATTTTACACGAATTAGATGATTATGGCAAATTTTAAATGAATTTTCTTTGTTTGAACAAAACAGTCCATAAGATGTATTGCACGACACTACTTGATTATAATTCCAGTTATTGCCTGTGTAGTTTATTTTTTTATAATTTGTCATGCATTCAATTTCTTCTGGTATATCACAGGATATTTGTTTCTCATTCCTCAATTTTCCGATGGATTCAATTTCCACTCCTTTGACATCTTTGCTGGCTTGGCTGTTGTCAAACCACTCTGACCATTGACATAAAGGTATTTTAGTTGTTTTAGTAGTTGTAGAGGTAGTAGTAGATGTTCCTTTTGTTGTAGATGGTGATGTTACAGTAGTAGTGCTAGTAAGTATTGTGGGAGTTGTAGTGTTTGTTATTGTGTTGCAACATTCTACACGCATTAGCTGATCATGGCGACACTGTGGTGACACTGTGGTAGCTGTAGAGCTAGCAGTAGATGTTCCTGTTGTTGTAGACGGTGGTGTTACAGTAGTCGTGGTAGTTGTTGTAGGAGTTGTGGTTGACACTGTAGTAGTTGTAGAGCTAGCAGTAGATGTTCCTGTTGTTGTAGATGGTGGTGTTACAGTAGTAGTGGTAGTTGTTGTTGTAGTCGTAGTAGTGTAACATTCTTTAACACAAGTCATGGTTTCATCCAATAGATATGGAGTGTCTGGAGGGCACTGAGGAAAACATCCTGTGCAAATAATTAAGAAAATTATTTTGGTGATGCACAGACAAGGCAAATATATATATATTAGGGATGGGAAGATTCCCAGATTCGCTCGGCGCAAAAGTTAACGAAGCGATGCATCAGTTTAAAAAGTGCGCATCGGCTACATGTTGGCACTTATATCGCGATGCATCATTTCTAACATATTTTATATGTAATAATATTGTATTGTAATAATAGTTAAATCAAATGTAAGCTAGTACAGTAATAATTAATTACTAAGCTCAAACGAGTTAACGTGTGTTTCTTATAGCAGTTGAAATATAGTAATTTTATGTATTATATATTTTCATTTTTAATTCAGTGATTTTAACTTTTAATTTAGTTATTTTAATGCTTTAAAGAGCAATTTTAGATTGTAATGTTTTGCTATCTGTTCTGCAAACTACAAAAGGTACAGCTGTAATAAAACCAGAGAGAAAGGCTGCATGGCTAGAAACTGTAAAAAAAAAAGTCAAATAATAGTATGTGAGAGAGTCAGTGGTAATATCGTTGGGTTCCTATTGGTCAGTGTTAAAGGAACTTAGCTTAGTCTGACAGTTAGCCTGCTTATGACCAGGTCAGTTTCCCAGCATAAGTTGACTAGCTTGATCTAGGTCCATGCTAAATTTGCTTTATGGAACCAAATCATTTGACAATGAGTCAAACTAACTGAAATAAGCTGGCTTATTTTATAAACTTGTTTTATGAAACAGGCCTTGAGGCATTAAAAGTGATCATATTTTCTCCATTGCATCATATTGCATCGAATCGCATTGTGTTGAATCGAATCGAATCGAATCGAAATCAGATCGCACTGCATCGTAATAGGAGTGAATCGTATCGCATCGTATCGCATCGGTAGCTGCTTCATATGTATCTTTAATGTATCGTATCGTTGGCTATGCATCGAGATGCGTATCGTATCGGCCTGAGTCATGAGATGCACATCCCTATATATATAATGGCAAATAAATATATATATATATATATATATATGGCAAATATATATATATATGCCTTGTCTGTGCAAAGGCAAACAGTAAATGTAAGTAAACAGATAAATAGGGTCCTTAAAATATAATTTGATGTTAACAAGTTAGCAATGTCAGCAAATTCATCTTTTTTAGCCTTCATGAAGTCTGCAAGCTTTGATACAGTCTATAAAACAGACAGAGTATTAAAAAAAAATTACACCGACCTTCAAGTAGAGGAATTTGATCAGAGCAAGTTCGTGAGGGGTTTTTGCAGGTTCTCAGGCAGGGTTGTCCACAGGATTTATAGTGCCACTCACACTTTCCCGGAGGGTTGTAGTAGTCACAGAATAAGGCTGCAAAAACAACCACTTGTGTCAGTACAATGAAAATATTTATAGTAGACATCAAATCAAAGAAGTTTATTTAAAGTGTTAGTTCACCCAATAATGAACATTCTGTCATTAATTACTCACCCTCATGTCGTTCCAAACCCGTAAGACCTTCTTTCATCTTCTGAACACAAATTAAGATATTTTTGATGAAATCCTTTCTGACCCTCCACAGACAGCAACACAACAGAAATGTTCCCAGGCCCAGAAATGTAGTTTCGTAGGACATCGGTAAAATAATTCATGTGACATCTGTGGTTCAACTGTAATGTTATGAAGCTACAAGAATACTTTTTGTGTGCAAAGAAAACAAAAATAACAACTTTATTCAACAATTCAACGTCGTGGTACTCTCAATAATGGTGGAAGATGGTAACTCGGGGGAGAAGTATTGTTGAATAAAGTTGTTATTTTTGCTTTCTTTGCGCAAATAAAGTATTCTCGTAGCTTCGTAAAATTACTTTTGAACCACTGATGTCACATGAATTATTTTACCAATGTAATTACTACGTTTCTGGGCCTGGGAACATTTCAGTTGTGTTGCTGTCTATGCAGGGTCAGAAAGCTCTCAGATTTCATCAAAAATATCTTAATTTGTGTTCTGAAGATGAACAAAGGTCTTACAGATTTGGAACTAGGGCTGCAACAAACAATTATTTTGATAACTGATTAAACTAACAATTATTGGTATGATTATTTCACTGATTAATCAGTAGACTTTGATTGATTATTCAGTTTTTGCAATGTTAAAATATTGAGTTATACATATTCTAACAAATAAATAAAGGTAATCACTTCAGCTTTTGAAAATCATATTATGTAATTACAATTATTATACAATTAATTTATACAAATAAATATATTTGGCACAAAATGAGATGACAGACAGAGAAACTCTCTCATTCACCATTTAATTAGCCATATTCATGATTTAACACCGCTGTCAGTTTTTGATGTGTTTATTTTGTTATTGAGAGGAAAGCATGCAGCATATGTTTACATAATCATCCAAACTTCACTCAGCAGCTACAGCTTCGGTTCTGCTCCGTTTGCTCTGAAGCGCTGGGTCTTCTCTTGAATTGCACCAGGAGGGCTGAATTACAGTCTTGTGCTACAACACTACACTGGTCAAACCGCATTATTGTAGGCTCCTACATTAGGTCATATGAGATCAAATGACTACTTGACAACAAAAATATTTGTCGACAATTTTTTTTGTCGATAATGTAGACTAATCATTTTAGCCCTATTTGGAACGACATGAGGGTGAGTAATTAATGACAGAATTTTCATTTTTGGGTGAAATAACTGTTCCAATTTGTAGAAGAGAAAAATAAACACTTACATATAGTGTGTTGTGTATGTTTAACCCTCAAGCACCCTTCGTTTTTTAAAAATAAATGTCATACCACTAGCTTCGATCAATAAAAACAATAAATTTATGCATTTTTTGTGAATTTTGGTGGGGTTTTTTTTACATTTATTTACCTCTAATGTACCCTATTTTATGTAAAATATGCTTATTTTTTGTTCTGTTAAATATTAGGCCTACTTAAAAAAACAAACAAAACTTATTCCAGTAAATCCAGACAGCCTAAACATCTGGTGACACATAATAATATAAAAAAAATCAATAGCCACTATTTGGCTGTAGTACTCAATGGCTGCATATAGGCTGAAATCTATATAAACTATTGTTTTAACGAACTTAAACTCTTAAGTTTGAGATTATATCACAAGTTAAAATTGTAGAATTAAAAAAAAAATGTGTTGGGTGAGACTATACAAAGATGCCAAAATATGCTTACAGAATACTGACAAATTGGTTACACTTTATTTTAAGGTGTCCTTGTTACAGTGTAATTATACATTTAAGCACTGAGTAATATTAATTAACTACATGTACTTACTATATGGTTATGGTTAGGATTAGGGTTTGATTTAGGGTTACTTGTATGTAATTATGCATAATTAATTAATTATAATAATAAGTACATGTAAAATGTGTAACAAGGACACCTTAAAATAAAGTGTTATCGATAAATCTGACCATGCTATAAGGAAAAGACAAAGTAGAGGACAGAGTAATCATTTATTTCTAACAAAAAAAAATCTAATTTCAATTCATCTAAAAAAGTAAAATGGTACCAAATGGTACCAAACAGGAAAGAATAAACGATAAACCTAGCAAGTAGCATGTTTCAGATATGTTTTGTTTGGAATCATCAACAAATTTTGCAGTAGGACATTGATCTGACTTTGAGTGTGTGTGTGTGTGTGTGTGCGTGCACAGTGGCTGATTGGCACATTAAAAAAAATATACTCTCTCTATTTTTTATATTTGATAAAAAAAAACTCCCATGATTTCACACTGCGTCATCAAACTACACCTTTGATTCTTTGTTTGTTTTGAATACGTGCCCTCTAGTGGCGAAAAATTACATATTGTGCCTTTAAGGAAACTATTTGAAAAAAATAAATAAATAAAGATTTTGCCCACATTTGTTCTGAAGGATGCTTGAGGGTTAAAGGCAATAGTAAAATATTAACTGACATTTAGGAAATATTAGGACTTACGGCAGATGCTTGGGCTCCGCCATGCCACACAAGCTCCTTTTTTACGGCATTCAGCAGCGTAAGCTGCCACTGCAGTACAGAAACAATCACAGTCACCCCCAGTGTCACATGCACAGGTGTCCTTTACACAGGCATCATAGTATAGTCCAGAATCCACCTAGGAGCAAAGAAACAGATCATTTCATAGGTTCTATCATGTTCTTCTTCATGTCACATTTTTCTTGATTTTCTTCCTCTTGGTTACTGTTAGTAGATATATCACGTTGAATTAAGTTAATATAAGATATTAAAGGGATAGTTCCCCCGAAACACCCATTCTGTCATCACTCACCCTCATACCAAGCATGTATGACTATCTTTCTGCTACAGACCACAAGAAGATTTATTGAACAATGTTTCAACTGCTTTTGTACATAAAAAAGAAAGTCTTTGGGGTCCATAGAAACACTGAACCCCACCAATTGTCACTGTATGGATGGGGGAAAAACTAATTTTTTTTTTCAAATTATCTTAATATTTTGTATTCCAAAGATGAAAGATTTGCAGATTTGGAATTTGGAATGAGTAAATTATGACAGAACTTTGGGTTAACTATCCCTTCAATAATAAATAAACTATTTTTTAAAATATATTTATGTATTTATTTATTAACTAAACCAAAGATGGCTGAATATGTCAAATAATCTCTTATGTACAGACAAAGAGTTTAAAGCAGAGGGTCAAAATTCGGCTTGTTTTTGTTCCAAACTTTTAAAGGTGAAGTTTAATTCCTGTGGTACTATTGTCACCAAAATGTATTGTAACAATAACTAGATAGTAAAGTTCGTAGACAAACTTTGAAGTTGGATTGAGAAAGCCAGGCCCGAAAGTTTTAAAAGTTTTTAAAAAGTTATAAAAGTTTGGTTTTCAGTTTGAGATAATTTTCGGTTTAAATAATTGAAAGATTAAAGTCTGAATGTTGTTACCATGATTAGCAAGACCAGCCTGACCAGCACAAAAGGTGCCAAAACCACTTTAAAACCAGCATGGGAGACCAGCCAAAGCATCCCACCAGCTTAGACTGGTTTTAGCTGTTTTTTCAGTAGGGAGTTGTTCAGCTTTGCTATAGCATTAGACAGCTTAAATACACCATAAGTCTCATTGTACAAAAGTTTTCACCTCCTCAATGAAAGTCTATGGGATTTCGGGTGGTTTTGATAGTCTGGTTTACGAAAACCGGAAGTCGGATCAGTTAGAAAAGTGCTAACAACTAACTTCAGACTAGTCTGAAGGTCTGACCCGAGTTTGGTGGTTGTAGCTTTAACGGTCTAGGAGAAGATGCAGTTCAAAATTTGGCTCAGAAATAGAAGAAGAAGAAGAAGAAAATTAAATAGTAGATCAGTAAGTTGGCTTTCTCAAGCCATCTTAATGATGGACCGTTTTCACATTTTCGGGTTTCTCAGCAGCGGAAGTCATCATAGTTGGGTTAACTTGAAGAGCGGTGAATGGAAGAGTACCACAAATATATTGTTTGCATTCCCATTTGTTTAAATAGAAAAAGAAAAACTCCACGATAGTGTTTTCCTGACTTTCAATAAAAGGGAAAAGACTGAGAGACTTATAACGGCAGTCAGAAGAGAGAACGATGTCAAATTTACCATCCCTCCAATAGACGCTGCATTAGAAACACCCGCGCATTAGCATATAATGTTATAAATGTACATACATTTAAAAAAAAATACAAATATGAAAAACTTTCGAGGATTTATGATGCTGATGACCGTTAAACGCGTCATCACAGTCTTGTGAAAAGAGTCCATTGTTTTTAAACCGGTTCTCCAAAACATACCCTTTCTGCCATTGGTTAGTTGAGAGTATGTGAACTTCAAAAAAATTACACATGTAACTACTGTACAAAATAGTTTATACTGTTACTTACAAGTGTGTGGCAAACTTTAAAGACATCACTTGTTATGATGCTGCATCGTTTTTCAGCCCAGACAACCCGATGTGGACTTTCTTTACAAAAGTCTATCGTGTTTGTCAAATCTGGGCAGTCAGGATTCACTTTCCAGCTGTTCCCAAAATCTGCTGGATCCGTCACCACTTCTCCATTGTGCTTCATAAAGTCATTGTTCGCATTACCATCAAAGTTTCCACACAGTCCACACACCTTGCCCTGCCATAGAGATCATGAATGGATGTTTAGGTGAGTAGATGAACAAAGGGTAAAGTGATTGTGTGTGTTTGTGTCTGAATGGGTGTACCTTTAAAGAATACATACCTTAAATTTTTGATCAAGTTGGAGCATCAAACTTGTTTTATTGTCCCAGATTAAGTTCAAAAGACCTTTGACCTCTGTGACAATATATATCCCTGCAGTATGAATCTGATATTGGTAATCAGTGTCATTGCCAATAACTTTGACTTCATCCTCGGAAAAATGAATCTCATATCTCTGCAGGATTTGAATAGTAAGTATCAAAACATTCTCCGTAACTCCAATTTATGTAACTGGATATCTCTCTCTTATGACATTATTGCAAGGTCACAGATTTCATCACAAATTATGCATTAGAATTTATTTAAAAATGTCTATCCTCATTACATATATGTATACCTTAGTGATATGCATGTTGCACACTTTTACACATTTTCTAATACTACATTTATGCTTAGTTTGAGCTTTGAAATAAATTCACCCCAAATTTGAGACTGATAGACTTGCAGATGGTGCTGGTGGTCTCACAGAATTTGTTCTGTGTGACAATGCTGAAGGAGAGAGTCTGGTTCATATTGCAATTATCCTAGAGGGGTTACAAACAGTAATATGTCAGGCAGTGATAGAAGTTGCCACAGATGGGTGACTTCACTAAACAGTTGCGATAGTTTTGCAAATTGAAATGCATGTTCACCACATTTTATTTTTAATTATTTTTTTTTACTTTTGCTTAATTTTCTTATACTTTTGCTTCATCTAAATGATTGAATCATTGAGTTGTTGACTCAAGAACAGCTGCAATTATCAGGTCAATTTGCAAATGAATCGTTTAGTGCAATTTGTTAATCAATTCAATAGATTTAATGAAAAGAATCAGCTTTTGTCAGAATGGGTATTGATTTCTTCAGTTCAAAATAATGAGGAAAAATATGTTTTAATTACATGTAGTTATGTAAAAAGTATGATATTATTCTTTTGAATGCAGTAAAAGTAAGAGTTTAAAATACAAAATAAAACATACAGATACTTTACAAATGTATTTAAGTTTAGTAACAAAGAAAAAATACTTAGTTACAAATGCTGGGTTAAATACAACCCAGTGCTGGGTAAAATAGGGACAAACCCAGCAATTGGGCTGTTTTGACCCAGCGGTTGGGTTAAATGTTTAACCCAACCTTCTGGGTAGTAACCCAACCGCTGGGTCAAAACAACCCAATTGCTGTGTTTGTCCCTATTTTACCCAGCACTGGGTTGTATTTAACTCAGCATTTTGACACAGAGTGTGTCCATCACTGAGTGACACAAACATGGACAAACATACACGGGCTATGATGTGTTCACATTCTCTGTAGAGGGAGTATCTCCTGCCATCAAAAGTCCTAAAATGACCTTCACCATAGATGGTACAGGTGCCATAGCATGTCTTTTCAGTACAATTCCATCTCCCATTTGTGCATGTGCTGAAATATAAAACATACAAATTATTACCATACTATTCTCATCAATGTTAAAGGGTCAGGAAACCCTTATTTCAGCATCAGTTAGTTAGAAAAGCGAAGATGGGAGATAACATGGTAATACCTTCTGATTCAGTCATTTATTTTTATCAGTCTTTTATTATCAGTTTTATTTTGATGTTGAGCAAAAAAAAAAAAAACATCAACAGCTCTCACTAATGCAAGCTACAAAATGAACAGATATATTATTCATGGTAAGCTCAAAGTATATTACACAAATGTACACAATCTTGTGATAGATATAATTTAATTTACTTTCAAACTGGTCGTGAAGCAGCTGTTACCCTCATAGTAAAAATGTATAATTTGAATGAATATTATGAATATATCCACACAAAACAATTTATGCCCATTACTACTCAAAGTAGTTTTCTAGGGCTAATCAATGTAAATAATTATAAAATAATTATTATATCATTATTCATAACCACCATTTTACAGAAACTATGTTTAAAGAATACAATTTTTGGTTGCAAAATACTGGTAATTCTCACCTCACACAGTTAAGACTTGTGCAAACAAGTTCTCGCACAACTGTGGTTGATGTAATTTTCCACTCAAGTCAAGGCTGGGGTGTGTAATATATAACGTCTGTCTAATATCGTAAGTGTTGTTACACTTAAAAAACAACCAAAAACACACCCAGAGAGTGCACGCATACACTGTGTGATTTAGTCTATTAAGATGCATTTAGAATGCCCATAAGATTCAATATGCTCTGCATGTCTTTTATATTTACATAATTTAATATAGTTAATTTATATCACACCATTTTTACAGTGCCGTTTTTCTCCAGATACCAGCATAACAAATGTAATATTGATTTTATACAAGTTTAATGAACTTAGTATTGAGTTACTTACATTTGAGATGTCTGTGTTCCACTTTTGCTAGTTTAACGACGGAAAAAAACGGTTGATGCGCCAGGCGCATGGTCCAAAAGGGTTGTACCTATTCTCTTAAAGGGGATCTATTATGCAAAATTCACTTTTGCATGGTGTTTGGACATAAATGTGTGTTGGCAGTGTGTGTACACAACCACCCACACGTCACATTAGCAAAAGGCCCCTCCCACGAATGTTGACAGACACTGCCGTTTTAACATAGAACCGCCCTGAGCGAGTTGTACACAGTCTGCCATTGCTGCACTGACGAGAAAGTCTCCAAAGCATTTTAGGTGTTCTGTAGCTGGATGTATGAATCCACATAGCTCTCTCCTTACTCCCGAAATCTAAGCCGCTGAAGACAAGGTGGATTAATTTTGTTTTTGAAGAAAATGCTCCCTCAACTCTACCGAAATTCGTTTATGTCTGCGCAAATCATTTTACACCGGACTGCTTTGTGAATGAGGGTCAGTATAAAGTAGGTTTTGCATAAAGGTTGCTCCTGAAGGATGGAGCAGTGCCAACTGTTCGTGATCCAGCTACACCTCCAGAAGAAGTAAGTATCACGCGTTAGTTTTCCAAATTGCTTCTTGGCACTTTGTAAGGCTAATGTTGCTAAAGCTACCATTGTCTGTCTGTTTTCACTGATGCTGCCTTCACGTGCTACCAGAATGATCGTAAATAGGAATGTGGGAGTTAAAATTGCATATGAAAGCAAAGTCGACAACTGGAATTAGTCAAGCTCTTAATCACAAGTGGGGCTTAAAGTTTGTATGGCACCATGAGTTATTTTTATCGCGCCGTGCTCCCGTCTGTGTAATTCTTAAAGTGCATTTTTTTAAATACTTTTTTTAGACTGACTTTTAAACCGAGTGCAATTTCTGTAAAGATAACAGGCTTGTACTTATAGTTGAGTGTTTATTTGCAAAGGCTAGCACTGGCATTGCCGGAGCCTGAGCTCTTGAAGCTCCGCCCTCTTCTCCGAAAGCACCAGCTCATTTGCATTTAAAGGGAAAGAAGAAAATGGTGCGTTTTGGCTCATACCCTAAAAGTAGCAATTTTAACAAGCTATAAAAAATAATCTGTAAGGTATTTTGAGCTAAAATTTCACACACACACTGGGGACATCAGAGACTTATTTTACATCTTGTAAAAAGGGGCATAATAGGACACCTTTAATGAGTCATGGGTGTGTTTTGGGCATAGCATGCAATAAACCAATAAGAGTCTCATCTCCCATTACCTTTAAAAGCCAGTTGCACTTGCACCATCGCGGATTCGCTATTTACATGGCGGAATTAGCAAGAGCAAAGACGGAACGCTTCTCCAGAGAGACACAGGTTTGTTTACTCATTAAACTCGTGGCCACCAGAAAAATATGTCGCTCCCTCAACATAAGAAGTCGTGGCCACGACATAAGAATGTCGATACCTCGACAAAATGATCTTGTGCCCACGACATAATATCACGTTCCCACGAGTTATTAGTAAATTATGGTTATTATTATTATTATTATTATGTCGTGGCCACGACAAAACTAAGTGAAGCAGCCATGTCAGCTCCCGGGGACCGTAGGAAACGGATCTGTTCGTGTGCAAGGTTAAAGCACGCCAGCAGACCATCTACAAGGCACAATAATAATCTTTTACATTGTAATCCTTTCATTTTTAATATTTGGCATGTTTGTATGCTGCTTCCCGTCTCTGTGTGTAATAAGCAGAGTGTACGTGCGGTGTGCACTCGCCTATAGGCGCATATTACTAAAGCGCCCTGTAAATAAATAACCTTAGACCAGGTTTTAGTTGGTCAATGCCGCAATCTTTTTCAGTTGCCTCAAAATAGCAACATGCCAACAAAGTGCCTGAACACACCTCGTTTTTAGTCCAGCATGGCCAAGGGTGAACAGATGGCCGCAAGTGCATTTGCTATTTAAACAACGTGGCACTGGACGTGAAAATGATAACTGCGTCGGGCTGAAACTAGCAAAAAACACTTGCGACCTGCCTGGCATCGCATTGCGCCGGGTGTATGATAGGGCCCAAATTGACTCGCTAGTCACTCGATAAACAGTGACTTGCTGCCACCTACTGGTGGTTTTAATTTCACATTTCAAGTATCTTTTCATGTTTTAAATCTTTTCAAATATCAATATTCAACTTTTATGTTTAAAACAAAACATTATTTGTAACTGCTGGTTAGATGCATCCATGTCCCCTCTTAGCTGCATTAAACAGTGTCTGTTTCACTTCAGATGCAGATTACATATTTGCAAAAACTGTTTTCTTATGTTGGAATGAAAGAGTCTTCGTACCAGATGAAGTGTCTCTTATGCTAACCCAAAGATACAAAATGGAAGAAAGAGTTCAAACTGAACATAATTTTTCTGTTTAAACTGTGTATAGAACATTTTTTTTATATTTATTTGCTCCTTTTATATTTTTAATTTACTTGTTCTTTTACTTTCAATACTTAAGTAAGTTTAATATTTAAAAAAATACTTTTCATACTTAAGTACAATAAATACCACTTTTACTCAAGTAATATTCTAAACGATGACTTTAACTTATGCCAAGGTCATTTTCTGGTAAGATATCTATACTTTTACTTAAGTGTGGCTTTCAAGTAATTTATCCACCACTGCTAATAACAGACAGGTTTGACTCAGGTGCAAAACCAATCAAAACGTCCAGTTCAGCAAACTAAATGTACAAAGCAAACTTCGTACCAAGTTGAAATCAACATTAACAACAACATTAAAATAAGAGCTCATGCATTTTTACATGCATCTGACTGACAGATAAACCATGATTTATTTGTCAGTAAGATGCAAGTAAAAGTGTTACTATAGCAACGGTGGACTCCAGGCACATTTTCGGTAGAAAGAAAAAAGAGCAATATTATTTAACATGTTAACCCATAGTTAGGCTTGGGAATCAAAAATCGATTCCAATTCTGGAGTAAGTAAATCTTTAAGTAAATTATTCCTTCCCCTGGTTTCACAGACAAGGCTTAAGCTTAGTCTCAGACTAAAATGCATGTCTGGGCTGTTAATATCTTAAAATATGTCAGTGCCATTGTTTTGTCTCAAGATGCACACCAGTAATGTTATTTTCTAAGGCACATTTATAAAAGATACTTAAATGTCCTAATTGAACTATGGCCTAATCCTGGCTTAAACTAAAGCCTGGCTCACACTGTACGATTTTGACCACGATTTGGTCGTCTGAGACAAATTTGGAAAATTCTAAAAGATTCCTATAATCCTTGGCTAAAATTTGTAGTCTTTGGTCGTTAGTTTGACATGTTCACCGACAGCCATTTAATGACCGTTGCGATCAAATTGGACCTCCGACAAAGTTCTGGCAGTGTCAGAAGATTTGGCGCACAGTCCTGCAGTGTGACTTCTCCTACAACGAACGTCAAATTTTCTTCGTTTTTCAAGACAAGCCATGATCAAAATTAACAATAGTATAACAATAGTTTTCATTGTTATGGTGCGTGTCCACTGGAGCGGAGCAGTGGACACTCTGAAGCTCAACTTTCATAGTAATGAACTGAAAACACTCTCTCTGCTCCGTGCGAGTGGACATGCACCGTTAGCCACCATTTCATTCCTGTGTGTGATGCAGCTCACCTTCACCGAACGTGTCATGGGTTGATTTTTCTTGCATGGGTCAGTTTTTAAAGTGTCTTGACTGTCGTACAGTCTGACATTAATGTGCTTTAATGAATGTGCTTTAATGAAAGACCACAGACATTTGGTCTCTAATATAACAATAGCTTTAGCCACATTTGTTGTGGAACTGGCTAACAGGCACATCGACTGAAACGGCGATTTACTAAAAAATCATAAAAAATTAACTGTGTGACACTTCTGGAGATGAAGCTTGATCACGAACAGTTGGTATTGGTCTATCCTTAAGCAGGGCCACATTAACAATAGTGCTAGGCGGGGGGTGAAGCCCCAGGGCCCGAGCAAGGAGGGGGCCCGTGATTTGACTGTGGAGCAACGATCACCCACCACGAAGACCCACCACTCCCCCCACTAATTAGCACTGTTATTTAGTGGAGCTTTGCCAAAAATTCCATGCATTACCATTAGGGATTGAAACGTCACTTTTGAATTTGGTTTACCAATCAAATGCATTTATTCTATATTTGACTTTTGAACGACCTGCACATATCTATGAGGTGATCACTGTGCCTTATTGGGATGTCCGCATTCACCAATCAATCACCTCCACGGTTCACTTCGTTCTAGTCTAATCTGGAAATCGTCATGGTAAGAAATCTTCGATAGGTAGCCTGAAAATTTCAGCTATTTTAAAAAATGTGAGAGGAGCTCACAAAAGGAAAAACTTAAAAGACAAGCAGCAGAAAAAAGAGCAGAGCAGAGTTATTCAGTACATGAGTATTCAGTATCAGGTTATTTTACTAAAGCTGTTGATGGAGTGGAAGTTGTGGAACAGCAAGTGAACTTTTTACCGATTTTAGGTTAGTTTGATTATTAACTTGACTGATGTATATTGCTTTTTGTGTTTGAACAAACTATATATATATATATTCGCTGAAGGGGTGGACGATAACCCGCTTGAAATATGTCAAACGTGTTGCGCATGTAAGCTTATCATTTAAACACTTTTGTAAGCATTGTGGTTTAAAAACAAATGATTTTAAACCCTTCATGCATATTAAGCAGTGGGGGAGAATTCATTTTGGTAAACCTGATACGCGCTGTGGCGCACCTGCTTGTACAGCGCCTGAATAAACTTGAGTTCTTTCTTTCTCGTGCCTTGTGCTTGAACGTTCAAATACACATATTTGTGTCAAAATGCCCGTCTTTGGGAATGTCCTCGTAAAAAGCCCTGCAGAAACTCATAGACCCAGGGCCCAGTGAGGTCTTAATTCGGCCCTCTCCTTAAATAACAACTTTTTAGCAAAGCCTGCCTTGTATTGCTCCTCATTCATAAAGCAGTAGTGAAATGATTTGCGCAGACATAAACGAATTTTGGTACATTTTGAGGCACATTACCTTTAAAAATAAAAGTAATCCACTGCGTCCTCAGTTGCTCAGATATTGGGAGCAAATGAAGACTTTTATGTTCAGTCTTTCATCCGAACACATAACATCGGCATTGCTTAGGAGACATTGTTGCCGTTACAGCTGCTCGAGCGCGGAGAAAATGGATGACAGCGTACAACCAAACAACTTGCTGAAGGCAGAAACTACGGTAATGCAGGACTGTCAGTCAGCGGCCGTGGGCGGGGCCTAAACAATGTGACATCACAATGCTAAGAGAATCAAAACCGAATGCCTAATGAGACTCGTTTGGTTTAATGGGGATTAAAAAATAAAGAATGGGTGGATTTTTATCATTCTAGGGTGGTTGTGTTCACACACTGCCAACACATATTTATGTCCTAACACCATATAAAAGTGGATTTTGCAGTGGAATATTTGACATGAATACCAACGTGGTAAATAATTTAATTAAGTGTTGAAATGACAATGTAGGCTAGTACAATTTTTCACAATGGTTACTTATTTTACTTATGTTATGATAAGTCTTCTGTCTACGCTAATAAAAAAGGGAGTGGATGGCTTAATTTGGGAATTATTTGGGATTAATTGTTTATTCAAATACTGAGTGATTAATGCAGTAGGCTATTATGTCAAATAATATTTCGGTGTCTGAGATTTGACTAGAAAATATAATGCAGATGTCAATCACATGAGACCATGGCTTTACTATTCCCTACATTAGTCCGCTAATATAGTTCAAGTTTATGGAGTGAATGAAATCGAGTGAGCGACACTCAATGACACTCGGACATTGAGTGCACCAGAAGGGCTGTTGCTTTTAGTAGTTTGTGCTTGCTGTTTAATTATCATTTGAAACTTAGCAAACAGTGCCAGTAGTAATGAAAAGATTTATATTGAACTCTGTCATGAAAACTAGCATGTATAAACCTTAATTAAACAATTAATATTTGTATGAGATTACGCTGTACCCTCATTGGACTAGCAGTTTGGAAAATGGATGGATGGATGATTCAGCTGCAGGTGCCATCTTCTGGCAGGCCGTGGGAATTCATTCAGCAGGACCCTCACAGGTCATTATGGGTATTCTCTAGCACGACCCTCACAGTGCATTATGTATTCTCTAGCCGTTGAGTGTACATTGGTTATACATTTCTTATTGCGGTGCATTATGGGATTGAATGAGCACACTTGATAACGTAAACTATGGTTTCAGACACCACTACAAATGGCTGTCCCCTCAAATAGTGTCCTATTTGAGGGTATGGGTGCGATTTCTGACACTCAATCAGTGAGCAGGAAGCAGATGGACAAGTTCAAATTCTGTTGTTAAAGGCAGGATGGGAAACAACTTGTTGATGTCACAGCCTAATGCTCTTTGGCTTAAACAAGCGGGATGTGTTGCTCTCTTTGTTTTACTTTGATATTAGCATTCTGTAAATACAAAATATATTCCCAAACACTCTTGTCAGAGCATTCGCTGTATAGAATAGGTGATTTCAAAATTATCTCAAATAAATGTGTGTATTAAATAAAAAATGGATGGAAAAAAACACTTTTCTGTGGGGGGAAATTAATAAGTGATTTGGGTGTCTCGTTTTAAAACAAAATTTTAATTACATCCAGCTTATTAGCACCCAAATAAATAAGTGTGAATATCCTTTGATCTCACAGGTGTCTGATCCACTTCAAGAAGTGAAAATGGTCAGTCTTGACTGCATTTATTTCACTCAGCCCCTGACTGCATCCACCTACTCTGGTCTATTTTCAAGGCGACGTGAGGTGCATCTCAAACAATGATGTTTCACCACATCACATCTTCTGCTATTTTGGCATGATGTAGATTTTAAACAGGGAAGACAAAAATAACACAAAAAATCCCAACCACTTTTATCCTAAAATTAAAATTAATGGGTGCTATCATTGCTTTATTAGATATTCAGCACAACATCTCTGTTAACAACTTAGAAAATGCAGTTCATTGTTTCGTGACCCTTAAATAATACACTACAAAACATAGGTTATCTATATGATGATTGGGTAATTGGCTCACCAGGTGTTACAGTCCTCTTGAACTTGATTTCCAGGTGAATAGAAGAGCCCATTGTGGACACAGGTGCAGTTTTCCCTCTCCACACACCTACCTTTCCCATCAACTAGAAGGTCATTTTGACACATACACCCTGATACACACCCTGTACTCACCTACAGACAAAACAAACCAAGAAGGAGCAGCATTAGTGCAACATCATATTCTCTGCAAGATTTGCTATTTCAAGTTATCAGTGCACTATACAAATGCAAAATAATTATATTATTCTTTTCATTTTCTTTCATTTCTCATGTGTTCTCATCCAACCATCCATTCTAACTCACGCAATTGTTGGGGTCTTGTTTCTCACATGTCCTCTGACACTCCGTCCCTTTGTGTCCGTGTCCATGTTTTGAGCAGTTGAAGAAGACCATTGGATTCACACAGTCTAAAACAACAGATACACGGATGAGGAGCAGAAAAATTGCACAAATCATACCAATGTTGCCGTATCTTAGTGACATCTCAATTTGAATTTGGCAGGTGGAACTGCTGAAGAGATATTTTCAGCTCACCTTCTTGGCTGGAGCAGTGTAATTTGCCAAGGTTACAGGTGCTGTAATATGTAAAAAAAAAAAAAGAATAATAAAAGCCATCAACAGTTACAATAATGTTTAATCAATAATAAATAATGTGTCAATAATGTATGCTGAACTACTATTTTTACCATTTAACACCATTATTGTAGATTATGCTTGATGGTTTTATGACCTGGTTGCCACTGTAACAAGAACACTGGTCAGCAGTCACACAGCTGCCGTCATTGTTGAGGTAGGTGTCCTCAGGACATACACAACCATCTACAGGTGTGAAGGACCCTTGACAGGTGCTATCTTGTCCACTAAGAGAGCGGCATGTGCTGCCACAGCTGGTCACGCTGTAGGAGTACTTCATGTTGCCTGGACACGGAGTCACTGTGCAGACAGACAAACACACGGTAATGTAGATTTCAAGCCATATATTACATTTCAAGCCATACATATAAACAAATAAATACTTATGAAGTTCTCACCACAGGTGATTGAATCCATCCAGCCCTGGAGAATGACTCCTCTGGCAGCACAGGTGTGGACATAGTTGGACACAGCCGCACACATACACTTCCTAATATCTGCACATTTGCAGGTGTCATAGACACACCACTGCAGAGGATGAAACCCAGATTATAAGAAAGAGGGCTCTTTAAATTTGCATATCATATTTCATATACCCTATCATTTCGTACAAAAACACTCACTTGGTAGTAAATCTCAGGAGATATTTCTGAATGACATGCGGAAAAAACTCCTTTTGGGTTTGTAAGACTGGAACACCAGTTTTTAGCTACTTTCTCTGAATGAAAAAAATTAAAACACTAGAATTTAATAATGACAAAATAGCCACATTTGAACCTTGACAAAAAATGAATAGGTCATTGTCCTCTAGTATCCCAAATTAAACAAATCAAAACTATCAGGCTGGGAAATTTCTGTACACTACAACAGAGCCTTTATGTTAATAAAACTGAGTACCTATCTCCGAATGCTGTCCACAGGGGTTGTCAAATGTGTTTTCAAGATTTAGACAACTGTTTTGGTTTTTCCAAAAGTTGACAAAGGTTATTGGTGTGCCCTCAGTGACGCCCGACTCTATTTTGAAGTCATCTAATTGGACATCATTGTAGTTGCCACATAGACCTGAAAGAAGCAAGATACAGAATTAAAAGTACAATACCTGTAATTTATTCACTATGAACTGATACATTTTTTGAAAAGTCCTTTCTTAAAGCGGTCATATATATATTTTTTATATCCTTTTAATAATTGTATAAATCTTAGCAATGTTAACAATTGGTCATTTTATAATATTTTAATATTAAAAGTTACTCTTTTTTTATTTTTTTTTTTACTCGTTCCACCTTCCACAACAAAAAGGGCAGCGGCTAAGCAATAGATGCTCTTTACACTAAGTACAAATAACGATAGATTCTAAAATATGTAAAAAATAGCAGCATTTTCTTTGCAGAAAGTGTAAATAGTAGATGCTGTTTATACTTAGTGTAAAAATGGCAGTTTACAGTATTATTACTGTATTTTAATTTACAGTATCACTATACTGAAATAAGTTGCAACACAAGAGTTGTCATAATACAGTATAACAGGTTTAATAACTAACAAAAAGTACTGAACATTTAAATACAATAAAGCAATACACAAAAAATTTATTAAGTAAAATAATGTTTCAAACACATTAAAGTGCAAAAGAATTATAAAGAACAATAGGTAACCTTTTACAATAATCTCATAAACCTTAGTTAATGCACTAACATTAACAATGAGCAATAGCTACATTTGTTACAGACGTTATTCTTTGTTAAAAAAAATACAACTGGTAGTTCATGCTAGCTCGGGTCCATTAAATAGCTTAATACTGTTGCAACATTTGATTTTAATAACATGTTATTAAATGTTGAAGTGAACTAAGATTAACAAATGCTTTAGAATAATTTTTGACAGTTTATGTTAACTAATAAATTAACTAATGTTAACTAATGGAGCCTTAATGTAAAGTGTGACCAAACGATAACGAATCAAAACATTTTCAAACAATATCTAGTGCATGTTGTAGTCCAGATTAAAAACTTTGAAAATAAATAGTTGATTATATCTAAGTATTTAAGTATTTGGCCCTGTGATGGGAACCATTGTGAATAAAAAATTCTGAATGGCTGTTTAAATCATTTAAATACTGCTGTTCAGAAACAGAAAGCACAGCTGCCTTGTTTACGGGGTTACAGGGATAACGGCTGCATTTCTGCTGTTCCAACAGCGCCATCTGCACCTGTTTAATATTATCATTTAAAACTTTTTACATTATGATTGATCTAATATCTGTATTTTAGTAAGTAGGCCCTAGGCAAGATAATGAAAATGGGCCCCACTAGTGTCAAAACTGTCATAGCAATTTGACGAGTGAAGAAAAAGCACATCAAATGACAATTCCAATAATTAAGCATAAATGTGTATTAAGTGTAACACATCCAACATAAATATGTCAAAGATCTTTAAACGGATTTAAAAAATTGGAGTGCAAGTGAGCTTGAAAAATGGAAGTAAATCGATATACATGAAACATAAATAAAATATGAATGAATTATGCACAAAAACTAAAATGAAATAAACAGAGTATAAACAAAATGAACATACAAATATGCATAAATGAATAGAAATACAGGCTATTTCATTTGTTTTTAATGCCTGATTGATGATCACACACATTTTTTTTTATAATATTGCATTAGACATTGGATGGTGGGTTGAATCCGAATTTGGAAAGAGGGGGAGACCTGTATTTTTGGCGGGAAGGATGGATGGGATAGCTAAAATTAGGTCCAGTCCGATAGGGGTGCTAGAGGATGCTAAGCGCCCTCAGTTGAAGCTAAAATAATAGCATATTGGCGAAACAGATTTGGCAGACACTCCATTTGTGTTTGCGATCTGTTGATTTCTTAAACACCGTTTAGAAGCGTTCAAGTTAGAATCCATACTCAAAAGGCCTGAGATTTTGTTCAGTGTTGAGTTCTGCACTCATTGATTATAACATAACTTTGTGAGATCGTGATGAACTGACAGCGTTTTAGTGATTATAAGGAGTGCTCTTTCCGCCATAGCAATGAACGGCACAGTAACCGTAGACGTTTTTCAGTCAAGCCGTTTAAATGATATGAGCAGCTATGTGATAGCTATATTTATTTCCATCGTCCACAAATCCCCAGTAGGCTACACGCTGCAGTGATGCTGAGGCTGGTACCCAGATGGTTATTTGTGCCCCTATTTGATATTATACGTGTTATTATGCCCTATATTTGTCACCACCATTGTGCCATATCTTATACCATGTCCACCCATAAAATGGAATAATTTGTTTCAATGCGTGTTGTTGTATGCGTTTTAATTACATTTATATATCAATTGGCGCCCTTTTATTATTAAATTCTATCGACACAATATCGTCGACCTGATGGTGACAATTCAAAGGTATACGATAAAGGATGATAAGAGGCATCCTTTATCGAATACCTTTGAATTTTTACCATCAGGTCGACGATATTGGGTTCCCAGATGTTCAAAAAATAGTTTAAAATGATCATTTATTCCCCAAGCAATTAAGTTCTTACATTTTTCTTCCTCTAGTGGTAGTTGATGGTCAGTTAGACTGGATATTTTAACTAGATTCATTAGTATTAAATTATTGTTTACATCTGTTTATTTACATATATGCCTAATGTGAATCGTCAAATTTTCCTGAAGCTATGCAATTCCTACATTTCTTTCTTAATATGTACTTCAATTACCTTCTAGATGGTGACCGATCAAGAAAGTGGGCTGAGTGATTCTTCAATGGACCTGACAGATGATCTTGAGGAGGACTTGTGTAAAGTATGGGACATGGCTATGGATAAGGTAAACTGAAACCCACTGTATTCAACACCCTGCTCCATGCCCACCAGCTATTAACACATTACATGTGTTTTCTCTCCAGGATGTGGCTGTTTTTCTTCAAGAGTTCAAAGCTCCAGACATCTTGCTGGGTGTGATCGCAAAGTCACGTAGTCCACGGCTCACGGTAAGTCATTTTACCACTGTAACTGCTTTACATAATGCTTATAACATCTTATAATTACTCAGAGCTTCTGTTACAGGAAATCTGCGTTGGAATTCTGGGTAATATGGCCTGTTTCCATGACACATGTGTATCTCTCAGCCAGAGCTCTGACCTATGGTAAGAGACACACACATGTAAGTATCCACCCACCGGTCCAGCGGCCTGGTTGAAGGTTTAATGCGTGTTCGGTCTTTTACTTGCGCCTCTGAATTGATCAGGATTTAGTTTCAATTTTAGGCCCTGTCCACACGAACGCGGTTATTTTTAAAACGTTGCTTTTTCTACGCGGTTAGGCCATTCGTCCACACGCAAACGCAGCACCAGGTCACTGAAACCGACTATTTTTGAAAACGCCTGCCAGGGTGAAGATTTTCAAAAACTTTGGTTGCAGTGTTATCGCGAAGACAGAGTTTTTGGCTTGTGACGTCGGCGCCTGCGCTGTTCTCTCCGCCTACTGGAGACTTTTTCAGGCTTCTGATTGGCCAACATGGCTTTACGGTTGAGATTATATCGCCACCTGTTGGCTTGACATGCTCTTGACAGTGCTTCATAGCATGTGTTTGCGTTTTTATGTGGACGGAGATTTTTTTAAAAATGGAAGAAGGAAAAATACCGGTGTACATGTGGACATGGCCGTAGTCTAGCTTCGTGTTCAATCAATTTCAAGTGATCATTAAATTTAGGCAATGTTTCTAATTAAAAACTGATCCCAAATGTCGGTTATGTATTAATTTAGATATTATTCCGAACATCCCGTACTTTCAATTATTCGTTCATTAGGGACCCGGTATCTCATAGAGAACTTATGCCGGTCTCGTCATTTCTGATCTTAAGACAGAGGATGCAGTGTGAATATCTACCTTTATGTCGGCCGCGCTCTACTTGCTCATAACAAAAAGCATAGTTTTTGTATATTCACGAAAACTGCAACTTACTAAGGCAGTGATAGTCAGAAATCGAAAAGGTCTCAAATGATGTGCCCCATGCTTTATTCATTGAGCCTTCTGTATGATCTATCCTGAATACAGATTTGCGGTAATACTAGACTCCACTTTAATCTACTAGAAATAATTTCAGAGTAAGTCAGAATAAAATCAAATGTAACAATTTATTATCAGTCAGGTAAACATGTATTATGTCAATTCAAAGATGTCAAATCAATACAAGACATCAAATTCTCAAATATGAATCTAAGAGTAAAAAGTGCATACCTAACCTTGGAAAATACATAGTCTGGAGTGCAGAGACACACACCACACTACAGGCGGAAGAGATGAGATTGGGCCAGCTGTTGTTCTGTGCGTTTTCTCGTGGATCCTCTCTTCAGATTAGTGAGTTTTATTGTTTTATTACAGGATAGGAATCTTGAATTCAGTTTTGGTAAAATCCATCCTTACACACACACACACACACAGCATCTTTCTCCCTTTCTGTTCACTTCAGAATAATTGAACTATTTTTGTAAATACAATACTGCTAATTCTGTTAAATGAAAACATGTCTGACATGTTCTCTGGATCTCAGCGCTGTGTTGCTTCTGCTGCTCGGGGATAATGATCCACCTACGCTCTTGGAAACTTGCAGGTCAGTGCTAATAAAGCCCTGTTACAAAATTCGAAGAAAACTTTGCAATATATGCTGCATTTTACTGAATGCGGCGGGTGTGTGACTTGCAATACTGTGGCTTCCACAGGCTCCTGCTAACGTGTGTGTCTCAGCCTGAGGTCGCCCCTCTGTGGCTAGAGCGAATACAGCAGCAGCCGATGGTGTGCAGCAGTCTGTGTTTCATCATGAGCAGCTCCACCAATGGTAGTGATGTTTACTTTTAACAAATAGGCACAAAAGTGCCTGAAATTTAAGATATTAAGCAGCAAATAATTTTTCCCCCCAAACTTGCATATTTATTTATTTATTTTTTTCATGTGTGATTTTTGCTTTTTAGCAATGAACATTAAATACACATTTACTACTACTAATGAATAACATTAGCTTTTTATTATAAATTTGTATTATTGTTAATATTTAATATATAAATA